TTTCCAAACTATCTCCTCCCCTCCTCTCAGACAATGCTGGCTTTAACTGAGTTCCTGGAAGAAACTGACAGGCCACAGGCTTTGCATGAAAGGCAAATGCCATCCATGGTCCCCAAAGAGTTAAACTGCCACCACCTCTTGAGAGGATGCCTTCTTTTGGTCGCAAAGGAGGACCTCTTATACCTGGGTCTAAGCTTCTTGCTATTTCCCCTATACTCATTAAGCGGTTGGCAGAGGCTCTAGGTCTGACCACTTGTATTTATTTATCTACTTATTGAGTGTGTGTGCGGACACATGTGTGTATGATGGGGGAAGGGTGTGTGTGCCACAGCTCACATGTGGAGGTCAGAGGACAATTTTGTGGAGCCGGCTCTCTCTACTTCCCTGGGTCTGACAGCACTTGCCACCTGCTGTTACACTACTCTTTATTGGCTTGCCTACTGAACTACCAGGCTGTGTGCGCCCCAGGAGCTTCGAGTATGGCCTAAAACATTTGTAAATGATGACATGAAAGTGTAATATCAAAAAGGCAGACCCACACTTAGGGCTGGGGAGATAGCTAAGTCTTTACAGTACTCGACACACCAGAGTGAGGACTTGAGTTCCATGGTGGTGTGAATGAAAATGGCCCCCATAGGCTTATAGGGAGTGGCATTATTTGAAAGGATTAGGGCATGTGGCCTTGTTGGAGTAGGTGCGGCCTACTTGGAAGAAGTATGTCATGGGGGGGTGTTTAACACCCAAGCCAGTTCCAGTACCCCCTCTCTCTTCCTGCTGCCTGTCAATCCAGATGTACACCGTGTCTGCCTGCACACTGCCATGCTTCTTCCCATGACAATAATCTACTAAAGCTCTGGATGGAATTCAGCCCCAATTGAATGTTTTCCTTTATAAGAGTAGCTGTGGTCCTGGTGTCTCTTCAGAGCAACAGAAACCCTCACTGAGACAAGCACCATTCCCTAAATCCATGTAAAAGCTGGGGATGGCGACATTACCATAATCTCAGCGAGATGGGGAGGGAGAGACAGGATGGTCTCCTGACCAGGCAGCCTACTGGCAAGCTCTCCAGATCACTTAGAGAGCCTGTCTCAAAAACCAAGGTGGAATGTCACCCAAGACTGACATAAACTGACAGGCAGACACATAAATACATAGACCATAAATAAATAAATAAATAAATAAATAAATAAATAAATAAATAAGGACATCTCTAGTTCCTTTTAGAATGTCAATTCTCACGCAACTACAGCTTTTCCAGTTGTGTTCATCGCTCAGTCCCGCTACCCAGGACAGTACCTGGCACACAAGGCACTGAAGAGAGAATGAAGGAATGGAGCCTTCTTCATTCTGTGGTGACAGTCTCTCAGTGCTTCCCTGCACCATGCTGGGGACCTCCTGCTGCTCGTGGTAAACAAAGGAGGCTGAGCCTGGTTTGGGGCAGAGTGGACTCTGTGAGGAGAGGACTCTGCCCAGGGGAGGAGAGACAGGGACAAGGTGGCTCCTTTGGAAGGACAGTGGAGGCGGTGGCTTGGGAAAAGGTGCAGACAGAGAAGGAGATCTGACATGCAAAGCATGAGTTAGCTTCCAGGTCATTTATCTCCAGCCAAGAGGGACTAAGGATGCCCCTGTAGCCCACACATGCCCACATTCACAGGGATAGTGATTAGCAAGTACAGGGTTCTGGATAGGCAGGGTTGGCCTCAGGACAATGAAGTTTCCAGCTTCTCAACAGACAGAGGGACAGGGCCTTTGAGACGTCTAGAGCATGGAGGCCCAAGGGAGAGGCAATACCCCTCACACCCATGCCCATTCAGAACAGCAGGGACGACCTGGGGTGATGTCCACCATCAGGGTGGCAGCAATGACCCTGAATGATCCACTGGTCCTGGTTTGGCGGCCACTTTTTTGGTACTGAGCTCAGATAAATATTCTCTCTGGGGCAAACTGAGGACAGCTGACCACCTACTTTCATCTTCAAGTCCCCTCCCTAGGTCCTCCCCCACCCTGCCCTCAGGCACTCACAGTGTCCTGCAGCCTGTGTGTGCTCTCAGAGGCAGCCAGGAGCCAAGCAGCTTCTCCTGGGGACCACAAGGGATGCTTTCACCAGAGACCTATTCCTGGGTGCTCCTATCCCCACACTGGACGTAGAAGGCCCTGGCTCAGTTCATCCTACTTCTAAAGACAGCTGCTTCTGATCAGTCATTGCCTCCTGAGCCAGAGTTTCATCTCCTGAGGCCTCCTCCCAGCCCAGCTTTGACATGCAGAGTGACACTGCCCGGCAAACACACACCCAGTGAACTGAGGGAGGACACTTTCACCTCCACACACACACACAAGGACAACCAAAGCTAGCAGAGCATGCTGCGCACACCTGAAACCCCAGCACTAGGGAGACTGAGGCAGGAGAAATGCCACAAGTTCAAGACCAGCCTGGGTTATAAAGCGATTACCAGGCCAAGGCTACACAGCAATAGCAAGACTTAAAAATAAATAAAATGACTTCATAAAAATTCAAAATTATCATCATAATATGAAGTAAAAAATTGATGGTGAATTTTAAAATAAAAAAATACCAAGGTTAAAGCTACTCATAGACTCATCTCCACTGTTGTTTGACAACACCTGGAGGACACCATTCTTGCAAATGGCCACTCCAGAACCCTGTTCTTTCCAGAACCTTCTTCCCTTGTCCAGAAGGGAAGAAAAACATAATCCTTCCCAAATGTTTGTTTGTAGGCTGGAGCCTCCGACCTGGAACTCTATGTGGAGCAGTCCCCTCAGTCTGGAGCCACCCCCTGCTGTGGGACTTGGGGAGGCCCTTCAACAACAGGACAGAATTATGAGAGCTCGCACCCCAGGGTAAAGAAGCTGATTAAATTAATCAGGTCAGCAAGCTCCCAGATCAATAGGCTGTAATCTCCTGCAGGGCCCAGCAAGGGCATTGTTCAGAAGGAGTTGGGTATTTGCTGGGTAAATGAACAAATGAGTTAACTACCCTCGGGTCATTAGTCAATCAGCAGACACAGCACTGAAATGTTACTTCAGACTGCTGTGGCTGGACAAGAATTCATGTCAATGCTCCTGTCTCAGCCTTCCTAACTACAGGGATTACAGGTATGAACCACATCCTATCCTGGCAACCAGCTGGGCCACCTCCTGACCCAGGGCTCCTGAATGACCAGTTTGTCCATGAGCCAGTGAGGTCCTGGGCACCTGTGGACACCGAAGTCCTGTAATATAGTCACCAAGTTTATAGGGCAATGGTGACTCCAGGAAAAGATCCTGAGGACCAGGATCTCAGAATGCTGGAGAAGAGGCAAACACATCGTACTGAGAAAATTCTCCACACCAGCCCCAGTCTGACTAAAGCCAGCCTAGGAAAGCCCTTTGTTAACCCACTGCCACTTATTGTATCCTAGTTCCCTGGAGAGTCCCGGGTTATCAGCACCTGAGGTGAGGGCCTTGGCCCCACCCTTCAGCCACTTGTATTCATGACAGGCCTGGACATACACACTTGGCCTCCCAGCACGGTGCAGGGTTTCTCTGCAAGGATGTCTCGAAGGAATGAATGAATGAACCTACCACAAAAAAGTATAGATTGTTCCTTCAGTCACTCCTAACTCAAGTTTACGTTGAAAGGAAACTTGTTATCTTTGCCTCAAATAGGGAAGCAGCATCAATGGCCTACTTATTACACAGCCTAAGAAAAAGTGGGCTGGCCGGGGGTTGGTGGCGCATGCCTTTAATCCCAGCACTCGGGAGGCAGAGGCAGGTGCATCTCTGTGAGTTTGAGACCAGCCTGATCTACAGAGCCAGTTCCAGGACAGCCTCCAAAACAATACAGAGAAACCCTGTCTTGAAAAACAAAACAAAACAAAAAAGTGGGCTGGATAGAAACAGGCTTGAATACCTCTTTCTGGATCGTGTCTCTAGTTTGCATGGAAACCTGCTTCTTGACAGAGGCTGAGGGGAGTGATGGAAAGAAGACAGATTTGTGCCACCCTGAGGTGTCCCAGGCTAATCCAGGGTTCTCAACTATCCCCACCCATCAGAATTGCCTGGGAGTGTTCAAAAGAAATGAAGAAGCAGCCTCACTTCCAGAGATTTCTAGTTCTACTGACCCACTAGCAACCAAGTGACCATGAAAAATATCCTACATTCAGGACTGTTAAAGGAAACAAAAAGGGCGAGAGATGTATGTAGCTCAGCAACTAGAATGCTTATCTAGCACACACACAGTCCTGAGCTCAATTCCCAGCACTTCCTATACCAAGTGTGGTGGTGGCACATTCTTGTAATCCCATCGCTCTGGAGGTGGCAGATCAGAAGTTCAAGGTCATCCTTGTCTATACATCTCGTGCTCTGAGCTGGTGATAACGAGTTTCTCTGTCAGTCATGTATTGTCCTCGGCTTGGAGCTCTTCCCTTTCCTGAGTTCCACATTGAGAGCCAAGGTTGGAAATCAGACAGCAGGTCCCACTCACTGTGCTGGGTCCCACTTGACACTCCCCACACCCTGGTTAACTCCATAAGAGAAAAGGGCAACCTCAACTTAGGTTTGTAGCTTGCATCCTGTCACCTGAGCAGAGGACACACTCACCAGCAGCTGTGCCAGCTCAGCTCCCTGCAGGTGCCCTTGGTGGAGGAGGCAAAACTGCTCAGCTTCCAGCAGCCTGTCTCCCCACCTGGGAGCACTCAGGAAGAGGGGGGAGGAGTACCCTGAGAGGATGGATGTTCAGGGATCAGAGAAGGTGTGGCCAGCTCCTTGGACAGGTGAGTTAGCCCTATATAAGAAGATTATACGATGACAAAGATACACTGCAGGCGAGAAAAACAGGGTCCCACCAGGTCTGTCACACTGTACCACAGCCCAGGAATAGACAGAAACTGACTAAAAAGGAAGTGGGATTGACCTTTGAGAGATGATGTAAGGAATACTTTGCTCTGCAGGGTGGCCAAACAACCCAATGACCCCTGGCTTCCTGGGGTGGGGGAGGCTCACCACACAGACCCAGCAAGATGATGAAAGGAGGCCCTCTCTCCCCACTCTCCTGGAGGAGAGAGTTGAGGCCCAGTGAGACTGCTCTTGGATGAAATTCAAAGGGCCTGCCCATCAGCCAGAGGACTCTGAAGGTAAGGGGACCTGCCACCAAATCTAATGACCTGAGTTCCATTCTCTGGATTGTGTAGAAGGAGACAACAGTCTCCAGAGTTTCCTCTGCTCTTCCCTGCATGCTATAATATACAGACATGAGCTTGAAAAAAGTGTGCGTGTGCGTGCGTGTGTGTGTGTGTGTGTGTGTGTGTGTGTGTGTGTGTGTGTGTGTGAGAGAGAGAGAGAGAGAGAGAGAGAGAGAGAGCACCTAAAGGCTTTCCAGGCCCACCCAGCCCTCTGAGCTTCCCTTCCTCCAGGTTAACACCAACTAGGGGTGGCCTATGTTTAGAGCATTCTTTCTACCCACCAAACCATTCCCACAGAACAGGGACATGTCCCTGGCATCTTGCTACCCATTCCATCTAGGTCAAGGTCAAGTATGTTGATGGAATGCAGTTGTCCAGGGTATGTGGGTTACAGGGCGGAAGAGCCCAGATCCCAGCCACAAACACGTGTCCCTCTGGCTTCCAGACCACAGCCAGCATCTGCTAGGAGCTTCATGACTAACCTTGCTGCTTCCTGTGGGTGACAAACACAGGAACTCACTATCCTCCTTACTGAAGCCAAGACCTCACCCAGGAGTAGCCAGCCTGGGCATCTGAGTGGTTTTGCCCAGAGAGAAGAAACAGAAATAAGAGAGGCCTCCAGAGGGGTAAAAACTTTTTAAAAATCTATTTCTTAAAATCATGTCCAAGCAAAGTTGAGTTTGAAGTCCATAAATAGACAAGCTAGCAAATTTCACAATCAGGCTGGCTGCCCAGTGCTGGGTGAACGACCGGCCGTTTAACCTGGCAACTTCAACCAGCTCACGTGCTACCTACAACCTCCACCCTGTGGTTTCAATGGCTAACCAACAAGTTGCAAGTGGAGTTCTGGGGGAAAAGGGGAAGGAACAGGAAGGGTTCTCCAGGGTGGGGCTCTTGCTCTGGGGGACCTGTGGCATTCCTGGGTCAATGCATGGTCTTAGGGAAAGGGTTTCCTCTGAGGAATGGCTTGGCATAAGGAGAGACCCTGAAGCTACAGAGGAGCTGCCCGACTGGAAGGTTGAAGTCTAGGTAGGTTTGCCCTCCACTTTCACAATCAAGCCTTGATGCCTGGATCCCAGGACCTGAATTCAACTCCTAACCCCATTGACACCTGAAGATGACAAGGGCAGGTTACTTAACTCTCTGTCAAGCAGAGTTATGGCAGCACACCTCTCTGAATTGCTGTGGGACGAGGAGAAGGAGAGGTAAAGAACACTGTGCAATGCTGGCCCACAGCAAGTGCCCACTAGAGGCTGGTCGTCACGCAGACTGGGCAGAGAATCTCCTATATGGCCCAGGCCATCCATCACTGCAATCGTAGGCATAGTCGGCTCTCGGCTTCTACAGCCAAGGATGCAACCAGACAGACAGAAAATACTTGCATCTGTCTTGAGTGACTTGTTTTTTATTCTTCCCTAAATAATATAGCCTAGGAACTAGTTACATGGCATCTACCTTATGTAATCTAAAGACAGTTTCAAGTGCATGAGAGCCAGTGTGATGGCTCATACTATAATCCCAGCCTTAGGGAAACTGAGGCAGGAGGATTACAGTGAATTCCAGGTCAGTCCAAGCTATACATTAAGAGCTGGGTATAGTGCTGCTTGCCTGTAATTCTAGCACTTGAAGGCTGAGGCAGAATTTCAAGTGTTAGACAGGACTGGATTATAGATAGAGACCCTGTCTAAGAACAAACAGAAGCACACTAAAAAGAAGGCGGGGGGGGATGTATGTAGCAAGTATAAATTATGTAAAGACATATTTATAGAAGGATCTGAGTGTCATCGATTTGGTGTCTGTGATAGTTACTCTTTATTGTCCACGTGACTGGATGTAGAATCACTATGGAAACAAACCTCTAGGTTAGTTAGGAAGGTGTTCCCAGAAAGGTTTACCTGAGGAGGGAAGACATCATGAGGACGAGCAGCAGCACTCATGGGCTGGGGTCCTGGGCTGAATTAAAAGGTGAAAGGGAGAAGGCAAGTCACACCTTCCCTCCAATGATAGACTGTACCCTCCAAACCCAAGCGAAGATAAACCCTCCCTTCCTTAAGTCTTTGCCACAGGTGTTCTGGAACAATTCATCCAGTATCCTCGGGGTTTCTGGAACCGTCCCTCTGGAGATGCCTGGGGGAAACTATATACTGAGTAGTGAATCTGGTTGATGTGGGTCCCTGCCCTGTGTCACTCAACTTCTTGTAATGAACAGACAATAGACGCAGCTGCAGACCCAGAGCTCACATTTCAGACAGTGCTAAGTGCTGAGATGTCAGTGGCCCAGAGATAAGTCAGACCCTGCTGGTGAATGCTGGAAGGTGCTACTGTGTGGGCAGAAAGTTCTCTCAGGGGCTGGGACCAGGAGGGACCAGGTGCTGAGATCCAAATGGAAAGGCTGGGGCAGGGGCTCCCAGCGAAGGAGAGGAGCTGGGTGTGATCCACCAATGAGGTCAAGGCATTGTCAAAGTTGCAGTGAAGGCTGTCAGAGCTCCTGGAACAGACAGACCCCTAAGTGACAAGGGTCATGAGAGATGACAACAGGTGTCTCAACTTATCTTGGGTCTTTGCTCCAGAGCTCACTGAGGTTCTGAGTATCCTGGAAACATTAGGGTCTGCCCTGCCCACTTCACTCCTCAGCCTGGCGCATGTGTTCCCCTACCATTTGTCAGGTCTTATTTAGGCTGGAAAGCCTTTTGTCTAAGTCATAATTATAACTGCCTCTCTCTGGACTGCCAGTGAGCTGTGAAGATGAATGGGCTGCAGACAGGTGGGGAGCCAGACTTGAGAAGCCATTGATTAAATATCAATAGCAAAGAACAAGGGGCAGAAAACGGAAATCACCATCCGATGGAATCTTCTAGGAGGGGATGTCCACTAGACGGAGGAAGAGCGGGGGAAGGGCAATCTGCAGAAGAAACTTCTTGCCACAGGTGGTGAGGAGAGGGAAGTCAGAATGAATGTGGGGTTTCATGGGAGACCCAAAAGCATCCCCGGAGGAAAAAGGAGAGAAGCCTAAGAAATCTGTTCCTTTCTGGGTGGGTGGCACATGGTAGGGGCAGATCTCAGGCCCCCAGACACCTATTGTTGTAGGCTTCCAAGCGAGCACACTTCACAGAGGCCTAAGTAGAGCCTCCCCTCTTAAAGAGCAGGCTTTGAGAGTGGAGAAGGTCAGATGTCAGCTCCTCCCATCATGGAGGAAACAGGCTGCCTCAGTGAGTCAGCCTGCAGTATTATTCTAGTAAATGTTTCTTGGGAGGGGCTCAGCCATTTCAGATCTCACATAAAACTTGAGGCTTAATTGGAGTCCCACCACTCCCAGCTTGCTAATGATGGCTGGGGCCTAACCCAGTAAACCGACCTTCCCATCTTCACGTGGTCATGATGTCACACCAACATCAACAATGGCAAAATAGGGGAGGTGTGTGAGAGAGCATTGGGTGGGAGCTGGGAGGTTCATTCTTGACCCCCAAGGACCAGAAGACTTGAGCTGTCAGTCTTCTGGCTGGGGAGTTGGCTCAGTTTGTAAATTGCTTGACTTGCAAGCATGATGACCTGAATTTGATCCCTGGAACCCTCATTTTCAAAGAGATATGTGGTGGCACATACTTGTAACCCCAGTGCTGGGTGGGCAGCAGTCAGGAGGAACTCTGGGAGGAGGTAGAGACAGAAGGAACACTCCAGCTCCTTGGCCAGCCACACCAGCAACATCAGGCCAATCCCAGGTCAGTGAGATACCCTGTGTAAAAATCAAGGTGGCGAGCCAGGTGTTGGTGGCGCACACCTTTAATCCCAGCACTCAGGAAGCAGAGGCAGGCAGATCTCTGTGAGTTGGAGGCCAGTCTGGTCTCCAGAGCGAGTGCCAGGATAGGCTCCAAAGGCTACACAGAGAAACCCTGTCTCGAAAAATCAAAAAACAAAACAAAACAAAACAAAACAAAAAAAACCCCAAGGTGGCCAGCTCCTGAGGAACAATTTCCCAGGTTGATTTCTGGCCCCTCCCTGCATGTGCGTGCAAACACACACACACACACACACACACACACACACACACACACACACACACAGGCAGAGCGAAGACAATTTTGTCTGCTTGTGGAGACTCAGTTTCCCTGTGTGTAAAATTACAGACTCTCAGTTTCCCTGTGTGTAAAATTACAGACTCAGAGGAGGTTATCCAGAACTCTGGGATTCTCTTGCTCTCCATTGCAACTGTGACTTCTAAGCACAAGCTGAACATCCCCAGTGTGAAAATCAGAAATGCTCCAAAATCCAGAACTCTGCAAGTACCACCATGATGCCACACCTGACCTCCTGAGTTCAAAACACAAGGGCACTAAGAATATCTTATGCATAAGGCACCTAGGAAACAGAAGCATGGGGTGCCTCTCCAGAGGGCAGGCAGGAAAAACACCTTCCGGTCAAAACAGAGAAGATTGCCAGAAATCTGAGGGTGTGCCAGATACACCCGGACAAAACCAGGCAGGCCTTGGATACACGCCCCCTCTGTCCTGCAGACATCGTGTCCTGTGCGTGGGGCAGTGTGGCCAGGCTGGGGCTGTCAGCTCAGAGAGTCCTGCAACATGACAGCTACAAGGACCCCGCCCATCTGTTTTCCACAAGGCCATTTCCCTGTGGCCTGCCAGGCAGGGCTGGCCAGACTTTCTGCTTCTCGGCAGTGAAAACAATGTGTTTATAGCCTAGCACATGAAAAAAACGAAAGAGCCACGTTTTCAGATCTCACCTCAGGCTCTCTTGTCCTAACCCTCACCTGCGGTAGGATTTGGAGGGAATCGTCCACCTCTGTGAATCTGTTGCCCCAGCAACAGCAAACAAGGACTGACCGTACCCAGGGCACTGTGCAGGCTGGGGATGAATTATCCAATAGGATGAGGAAGAACAGCAGCCTTAGAGGACTCGGAAACAAGACTCCAAGCCAAGCTCATGTACCGCCTTCGGTGAGGTTTCTGCTCACGAGTCACCTTGCACACTCTGGCTCTCCCCATGTCTTCAGTCAAATTAGTGTCATCTCAGGAGGACACCTGTGCCTCCCTGTCTGCCCTCAGGAGGAGGCTGAGATCTCAGGGTGTCAGGCTAGTGTGACAGGTGGTATTCCTATGAGAGTCATGCATAGGTGTGGCTAGCCATTGTGAACTGTCCTCTTTATGTACATATATATCCTATGTTGACCTTGGCCAGGCCACTTCTCTGGGTTGTTAAACCAGAAAACTGGACCAGATGACCTGAGGTCGCTCCCAGCTCAAAAATGTCACAATTTCATGATTTGGAAGGGTAATTAAGCCAGAACTTTAAGACATTCTGTGTTTTATTTTGAGATTCCCAGCTTTGCCATTGCCAGGACGAATGGAGAGGGAAATTTGTGTCCCCGAAATAAAGGGAACTCGTGTCACACAATGGGGCTTGTGTTTGTTTATTTAAACCCAGCCAGATGAATGTTTGAGTCCAATGAATAATTTTCTAAAAGACTCCGAACATGCTTATTATCAGCTTTCAATTTCTTTTATACTATGTAAGATTTGGTGTAACAGAGAATGTATCTCCTATTTGTAATGATGGGATATGAAAACATTTTTAAAATACAAGGGAATCGTTTGGATAAAATACTTTCAAGCAAGCCTAACAACCTGAGTTCCATTCCCCAGCCCCACAGGGTGGAAGGAAAGAGCCAAGTCCTGACCTCCACATGGGGCCATGGCATGCTTATGCATCTACATACAATAGAACAACTGTAATAAACATTCTGTATGCTTTTAAAATATACACACACGAGGCCTGTACTGGGTTGAAGAAAAAGGACAGAAATGAGTCCTACTGAGAAGGGAACAGGCTCATCTCTCACCAGTTACCCCCACAACAGCCGCCACACTGGTTTCACATTAACATCCCCAGGGCCTTTTTTTTTTTTCTTTTATACATCTCCTTAAACCAGATGTGGTTAGGCATGTGTACAACCCCAACACTGCAGAGCTGACATGAGGGGGACATGAGTTCAAGGCCTTCTCTGTCTACATATGGAGACCCTGTTTCTAAATAAACTTGGCCCAAGAATGCAGCTCAATTGGTGGAGTGCTTGCATAGCGTACAGGAAGCCCTGGCTTTGGTCTCCAGCATCATATAAACCAGGTGTAATAAATAACACATGCCTGTAATTCTAGCACAGAGGAGCTAGAGACAGGAAGATTAGGAGTTTGAGGTCCTCCCCGGCTATCTATCTACTCTAGGAGACCCTCTCTCTTCAAAAAAGAAAAAAAAAATGCTTCATTAGAATCAACACAAATGCTATACACATTTGAACATATAGAAATGCTCAGCCAATGATTAAAAAGTGATTTCCTTCCTAACTGCCAACATTCATCTAGTCCTGTCCCTTGTCACACCACAGTGGCATGTGATTTCCAGTTAAGTTAGCCCATCCCATAATTCCTAGGTGCATGTTCCTCATCCAACTCACCATCACCCTAGTGTTTTGAGCTTTCAGGTTTCCTCAGTGCCCTGGACTAAGAAGATGCTAGGATTCTACGGTTTGGCACCAGGCAGAGTGGGGTTCCAGTGACACTGTGTCATAAAGGCAGTAAAAGACAAGCAAGAGCAAGGACTGGGACTTCGGCCTCTGGTCAGCCCTGCCCCTCTAGGTTCCTCAGAGCATTGCCCTTGACTTATCTTATCGTCTCAGCTACCAGGAAAGCAGTGACGTCACTTTAGAGATGAAATCAGGGTTCCAGATTTTGAGACCTGTCCCCATCTGTTTCCTAGCCACACAGATTCAGGCATGGTCACTAGGCCCAAAGCTAAGAATCCGGAGGTTGAGAGGTGCTGCAACCCTTATTTCTGTTTGCTCTTCCTGGGTCCTGTCTCAGTACCAAAAATATATTGATGCTATGGGAGGGGGCGTGTTCACAATCCATGCTTTCACCTTTTTTCCAACAGGGACTTGATGATCACTGGGGACCCGCCTGATGTTCAGTTTTTCCAGTGACTAACACACAACAATTGTCCTTGGATTGTCCAAGACGGGGTGTGTAAAGTAATGAACAGCACTGAGTCAAAAGTCTGGAGTTCAAATCCCAGACCAGGCACACAGCCAGTGAATAGCACTATCAGTCCCTTTATTTGTAGTTGCCAACAATGGTGTCCTTGCCTCCCGCCAGGAACACAAGAAGTGAACAACAGAATACACTAATCCTAAAACCCCACAGCCACAGCTGAATGCCCTATCAGCTCTCTCTGATCACCCTCCTCCCAGAGTCAAGGACAAGCTTCCAATAATGAGAGGACCCTAGAGGAGTGACCCAGAGCAAGGACTGTTTGACAGCTTTGGGGAAATCAAGGCAGAAAGGAATGAGGCAGAGCAGGGACCTCAGGTATCCTGATCAACACCCCCCCCCCACCAAACCACAAACCACTCACCTTTGCTATATATCCATACCGGAGGAAACACTATCTCACCTGCTGCCCATAATGCCTCAATAACACAGGCACTGTGGGGAGCTGGGGTGCCCCCATTTCTGAAACTGACAAGTAAAACAACTAGCCAGAGGCCATATATTTAGGTGAGGCCAAAGTGGCCATCTGATTGGGCCACTCCCCTACCCCATCCCTTACAGCAAGATGACACAGGAGGCCAGAGGCTTCTGGGCTTAAGGATTCCAGGGTCCTTTGGAGGCAATGCCCCCCCTGCCATGTCATGCCTTCCAGAGTGGCCACACCAGGATCCCCCAACAACCATAGGTCTATCATAGGCAAAGGGGCTGCCCAGGCAAGGCTGGGTCCATATAGTCACTCCAAAACATGCAAACCCCCCATGGAGGGAGGACAGTTGTTCCCATGGAGACAGAACAGCTCTGCCACACCCTAAGGTCTTCTCAGGACTGACAGGACAAATGATCCTGGGTTCTCATCCCTCCCTCAGTGGCTCCAGAAATAAGGCCTCCTGGCACATACCTACACAGCCACCCCCAGAGGGGCCTCTTTGGCTCCCAGGGAGCAGCTTGGCTCAGCTGTAACTGTCCAGTAGGCTGGGGAAATCTGCGAGCGAGCTCACGTGTGTTGGAGAATCCCTCTGGGGCACAGTTCATAGGAAACTCAGCAAAACAGCCCGTTGGCACAGACGCACCCTCCTCCCTCCCAGCCCCTGACCCTTGTGAGCTGTTGGCTCTCCCTCCCTCTCCCCCTATTTCCCCAGCAAAAGGCAAAGAAAGCTATAAGCCCTTTCTTTAGTAGAGCCAAGTACCCAAGCAACATGGATCCTGGCTGAGCCGCCTTATGCAAGTCACGCCCCCTTTCTCGACTTGTTTCTTCTTTTCTGGTTAGATGAAAGGGGCCGTCCAGTTAGGCTGCAGGGCCAATGCAACACACAGTTCCCCGACGAGAAGACGAGTCTCTTTTTCCCACCCATGAGGTATGGGGTGTGCCCCCCTTAGCACTAAAGCCATCCACAAGCAACCTTGGCTATCCATTCTAGAAAGAAGCCATTCCTACAGATATGAAGCAGGTCTCCAAGACACAGGGAAAGCATCCCAGGACCAGAGATTAAATGTTACCACCCTTGGAACAGTTTTGAAGCAGGGGCCACCCAGGCTGTGTGAGACACCCGGCCCGGGAACCGGTTCCAGATCTGACATTATGCGAAGCCAACATCTAGTTCCCCTTAGAGAGGTAGGATGGGACCAGCGGGAGTGTGGCGCTCGCCCAAGGCTACATAGCGAGATAGGTTACTGAAGGAAACGAAGCACGCCGTGGGACTTTCCTTCCTCCCTGCGCGCTTTCAGGCTCCCCTTGTCGAGTCCGTGGTCCCCAGAATGGGTCATTCCGGGCCCTGGGGACGTGTGAGCCCATTAACAAGTCCTCGGGACTCTAGAGGCGAAGAAGGGAGACCAAAGAAGACACCTGGCCCCCGCGACACGGTACCCCAGGCACTGCGGCGTCTTACGGCTGAGCCTCTAGGGTGCCGGGATTTCGCAGCGGGTGGAGCGGTAGCATTTGA